TTTTTTTTGGTTTTTCTCCGGTACCGGGAACCGAACTCACGACCTTGCGCTTGCCAGGCAGGCGCTTTTGCCGCTGAGCTAAATCCCCAGCCCCCAACAACTACTTCTCATAGTCGGGGACCACCGGGGGATGGGGAGGGGGAGAGAGAATAACTTAAGAAAGTGAAATTCATTTCACTTGTTCGTACGAGGGTCACATTCTTTAATCGCATTCTCCTTAAATTCTGAATCTCCTTCAAAATCTGCCCCTAATCGGTATTTCCAAATTAATTTCTTGCTCTCTTCTTTAGGGTTGCTCCAGTCCAGCTTGACAGGTTTGTCTGGAATATCGTTCAGTGATTCCACTTCCAAACCCTGGGCTCTGCTACTGACTCTTGAAAGATTTTCACCACTTTCCCTTAGCACATCTGAGCCCTAGCCATCTTTCAGGCCTTGCTCGTGCTTCTTTTGTGGTGAAATCTGCCGTGGCCTTTCCAGAATGATCTCTACCCATGAGCCTCTCTTGAATGAATAGCCTCTTCTCATTGACTATGTAATATTAGCTTTTAAAATATTGCCTAGGAATTAGCAGATTTTAAAAGTGTAAATAAAATAATCACTTTATGTTGAAAATTGTACTTCAGCAGGAAGAAAAAAGCAAAGACGATACTGCCCTTCATCACTTTGACGAGAGAAGAAACCAAGATCTGTCATCTCGTGAAAATATTGTCTTGGAAAGCAAGAGAGTTTTGTCCCTTTTTGAAGCCAATGGGAATAACCAAAGTAGTACATCCCCACACTTTGCTGCAAACAGACAAACTCTGACAGAAGAATATAGAGTCATTCACAAAGGGAAGGCCCACAGGGACCTAGTGGTGCCCAAGTATCCCGAATCCACTGGCCCCAAAGGTGCCAAGGATGGAGACGATGGTACCAGGAGCCTACATGTCCAAGAAGTATATGGCACAGCTCCCGTCGTAAACAAGGTGCAAGGTGTAATGAGGCCGATGACAGGGATGCAACAGTGGGAGGAAGAAGACAAAGAGAAGAACCCTAGAAATGTACCAAGCAAAATTCCAGCACACACCAATCATGCTAAAGCCCACTCCAAAGGTAAGAAGAGTCATCAACCAAGTGCTCGAGCCCAGAATAGCCCGGTAAAAAGCAGAAGTACTCGGCATATCCAGCACAGCACTCGCTACCTACCACAGCTCTCCAAAGAGCGAAGAATCCCCAGTGATTTTGAAGGCAGTGGTTATACGGATCTCCAAGGGAAAGGGGACAGTGATGTCTTTCCTTTTAGCGGGGATGGCCAACCTTTCGAGGACATCCCTGGCAAAGGAGAAGCTGTTGGTCCTGACCTAGAAAGCACAGACAGACAAACAGGGCTCTTAGATCTCAGTGAACCTGAGACTGTAAGTGCTGACACGAGGGGCCTGGGTCCTAATGAGATCCCGGAGGGAGAGGAAGGTGGTGACCACACCCTCCCAGCCAAGGCTGGGACCAAGAAGGAGGCGGGCATAGCTGTGGTGAGCCGCGGGGAGGGCAGCAGGGACATCACCGGCAGTACCAACTTCAGGGACCTCCCAGGGAAAGAAGGAAACAGAGTGGACGCCGGCAGCCAGAATGCTCACCAGGGGAAAATAGAGCTTCACTATCCAAGTGTGCCCTTCCAAGGGCAAATCAAAGGAGGCAGCGGTGTTAGCACCGAAAGTGCAGCTCATAATGAAATTCCCAAGCATGGCAAAGGCGGTCCTAGTAAATCTACAGAGCTCTCTGGTAGGAACCAAGAAGCCTTAGGTGAAAAACACCGATTTTCTAGTAAGGGTGAAAGCCGGGGCCTGGTTATTCCTTCTCATGGTCTTGATAATGAAATTAAGAATGAAATCAGTTCCCGCCGTGGCCCTCACCATGAGGGGAATAGGATAACACACCGCGGGAAGGCTCCATATGTGTCCCATGGACAGCATGGCACTGTACGAGGTAAGGGAGGGTCACCAAGGAGAGGCTCCTGGGCTTACAGAAGACTCCATTCTCATAGCGGGTTCAGCTCCTCTCAGAGAAGCGATAGCAGTGAGTCCTCTGACAGCAGCAGTTCCAGTGAGAGTGCTGGCCGCTAGTGCCCCGGGCCTCCCTGCCATGTCCCAGTGGGCAGCAGAGGACAGAGTCCCCGACAGCTGACCGGAAGAAGGACGAAGGCTTAGCAGGCACAGAGGCCTGGCCTCCTGCTGTGTGTGGGGGATTTGCTATTTTAATGATCATAGTATGAATTCTACTCAAGGTCATAATGCTTTTTCAAAACACATGCATTAAGGATTTCTGGAGCAGGCAGCATTTGAGTGAGTGTCATTTGTAATATTTGTGACTGTCACAAATGCCCTTGCTATATCTTTTGCTCTGCAGACATGGAAATAAACAATATTTCTCCATGACAACCTATTAGTGGATGATCTATGAGGAATCCTGTTTTTCAGGAGGCAGGATTGCAACAAGAGGAGTTCTGCCTCCGGCCAAGGAGGCGGGTGTAAAGTGCCCAGCCCGCTGAGCTCACCTTAAGCATCCCTCTGCCGGGTCTGTTTCGGGCTCATCTCCACACTTCGCTCTGTTGCACAGTTATGAGCTCCTACGAGGCCATCGTGTTCCTGAAACACGCCTTGGTTTACCTCTTCAGTCAATTCCAGCTGTTTCCAAACAGGAGACTAAGGTGGGGTGAAGACAAGGGAAGAATTTGAGAAGAAACAGAAATGAAAAACCCAGACAAAAACTCAGTTTGACAGAAACCATTGGCCATTCCAAATTATTCCCAGCCTGTTTTTTTGTTCCTTCCTTTAGTGATGCTTTAGCTTCCGTTAGTGATGCTTTAGCTTCCTTTAGTGAGAGACTTTTCTAGCTAATGATGGCTTTGTGTCACAGTTCTGGAAGTTCAACCTAGGTCTTCTGATCAGGAAAGGGGAAGAATTCTGGAAGGCTTTGCTCCCCCTGGTCAGAAACTTATATAGCTTCACTCCTTCCTAACTTATGTCCTTCTTCTGGACTTAACAGAATGCAATGTCTGGAAGTGCAGCAGCTGTTTTGCAGCTATGAGGAAGAGAACAAAGCAGTCATAGAGATGTTTCCTGCTTGCAGTGCCCTTGCTCTGGGAGACAAATCTTCCTCATGTGTTAAGTCACCATCAGCTTTTTTGTTAGTGATAGTGGAGTCAAATTCCTAACTGTCAAACCTCTCCATCCCTGATGTTCTTCCAAATGAGAAGGGTCAAGAGAAGAAGAAAGGAAGAAGTAGAAGACAGAGGAAGAGCATAGTCTCTTGCTCTTTAAGAGTAAGGTCCCAAACAGCGGAAGCTATGACTGCATGTTCTGCGTAGCCCCTCGGCAGCAGAGTGCAGTAACACTGTAACGCAGGTGATTGTCATAAACTCTGAGCTACCTTCTGAAGATCTGACCTCGCACCTTGGTAGACAGAAGATGTTTTCTACTAAACCAAAGGGGCAATATAAACTGTGCAGTCAGTCCATTTCTACCCCCTACACACACACAGGCACAAGCACACACGTGGCAATAATGGCCCATGTGACTGTCACAAGTTGTGTTTTATTAAATCCTTTCATCTGCATGGTTACCCTATCATATGGGTATTTCTACATTTTCTAGATGAGAAACTGAGACACACAGAGCTTTACTACTCCAACTAGTAAGCTGGGATTTGTACCTAGGCCACCTGGATCCAGTTTTAGCTGTTAAGCGCTCACCAAACTACCACACAGTACGTAGATATCCATAATATGTAACCCATCTTACAGACGTGGATGTATATATAGAGGACATACACACAGATTACATAGCTAGAGACGCTATATAAATAGATAGATAGAGATGAATAAAATGCTAAGTAGATCCTAAAAACAATGCATCTTTTCCCCTGCATTTGTTCTCCATCTTCTGTACATATCAGAATTCAGGATCCATGAAAAGACCTTACACATCACCACTAGAACTCCTTAATAAGCTATTCCTCATACTTTGCTTTAAAAAAAAAAAAGATAATTTTGGCAAAAAAGAGAAAAGCATCAAGACAACTAATGAAGAAACCTATATAGAATTTAGATTACAAATAAATGAATTCAAATCCACCTGCTAGATATATTGTGGGATACGCTGCGGATGGCCTGATCATGTGTGAAATGCTTGGGATGGTGAAAGAGAAGCACGAGTGAGTGGAGAGAGTGATGTTTTCCCTGGGTCGTTCCAAGTGGGCGTGTCCAGAGGTCTTCCGTCCCAGTCCGTTATCTAATGGGGAGTTGCATCTCAGGTACCGGGTCAGACTGTGTCTCTTCTCTCCGTGCCTGAGTGTTCCTTGGCACTCTTTCACAGCGCTGGGAAGTTCACAGTTTCTTCTTCTCTTAAGGGAGCCAGAAATGCCCCGAGCATCCAGAGGCATTGCTCTTGGAAGCAGATGTGGATGAGTTGCTCCAAAGAGAGCAGGTCAGAGGCACAAAGGATGCCCTGTTGGCAGGAGCAGGGCCTGAGCTTTACCCAAATCCAATTTCAGCCATTAAGCTGCACTATCTTCTATTAAAAAAATAAACACAGGTTTCCAAAACAGGGCAGAAAACTTCAGCCTCTCCTAGCTGCCTTATAAGGGTTGAAAGAAGTGGACATGGTCTGCCACCTTGTGTCTGAAGGGAATAATAGCGCCATTGCCAGTCCCTGCAGCAGGCTCCCTGCTGGGCACTTGTGTACATACCCGCCTCTCCCTCCAACTCCACCCAAATTCTCTGCTTGGAAACACCCGCCTGCTTTGCAGTCTAGTTAACACATCCTTGGCAATTCCTGCTCTTTTGAGCAAGCAGTTCTCACGGCTTGGCATAACATTCAGCTGTTTGAAAAACATCCCGGGATGATGACATTTCACAGAACTCCACAGGGATCAAAAGAAGAGCTGTGCCTGGGCCTTACAAGGCCACAGTTTGGTCAAGGAGAAAGGCACACAAAAGACCAAGAGAGCGCAGAATGTGCTGAGTTCAGTGGTGTTAACAGTAAGTAAATATGATGCAAATGACCAGATAAAGCAGCTTTGAGGAAGGGAGGCAGTACGTTCACTTTTCTTCAAGCATTACACATTTAGAGGGGCTGCAGACAATGTGTATTAACAGGCGAATGAGAGCTCCCCAGTTGGTAACATTAAATCACAGCACTTCTGTTCCAGAGTTCAAGAAAGATCAGCCAGCATGGAGGAGGCAGTGGTGGGAGATGAGGCGGGGGTGGCAAAGGAGGAAGAAGCCACAGGATAGCTTAGAAGAATAGCCAGGCACTCACGGGCTATTGCTGTGCCCTAAGACGTTCCTGCTCAGGCTTCAGCAAGATGGCACACCACAACGCTTTCACAGAAACCTTCCTCTTGAAAACATATAGCCATGTAAGCTCTTCTAGTTAAGACATTAATTCTTTGAACCGTAATATTAAAATATAGTATTAGGTGGCTCAGAGGAAAAGAAGAAATAGATGGGCTGGAATGAAGGTGGTGAAAGGGGAATTAATTGGGAGCAGAAAGAGAAGGGGTAGGGGATAAAGAGTTAAAAAAACAAAAACAAAAACAAAAAAAAACCCCTAAACTTGAAGAAGTCCAGAAAGAAAGAACAAAAATCCAGTACAACCACCAAGCCAGAAACTCAGATAAGAAAAAATAAAAACCATGAGTGAACTCACCATATCTACAAGAAAGTCTGAATGGGCACAGCCAGTTTGGACATTCGGGAATAAGCACCAGAGAACTGCAAGTCGACACTGGGTCATTAAATGAATAACACCGCACGTTTATGGGATAGTTTAGTGGAGCATGAATGCTCATGTTGAGGAATGTGGGTGCTACTATATTTGAATTGTAAGTAGATTGTTATGACTGTTAGGCTTCTAGTGGATTAATAATAGAATTTAAATAATTTTAATTTAAAAAATTTTTAACATAATTAGGCAGGGAGCCTCTGGAAGACAGCCAAGGTGTATTATATGAAAAAAGCAGGGCATGCTGGACTTCTAGAAGAGGTGATTCTGATGGACGTGGTCTGGCATTGATCCTGGAAACACTGTTTGGGGACTGGCTGAGTGATATTTAGGCTGTGAGGCTGTGGGCGGGGTCCAGGGTTTTCGTTTGTAACAGATGCTTCACATGACGTTGCCATAAGCCCAAACGTGAAGTCACTGGCGTGGGAATCTTTCCCAGTGACCTTCAAATCATTCTTGGGTCTCCTGCAGGTCCACGGCCAGCCCTGGCCATCACTGGCATTGTGGAACTATTCCAGGCTAAGATGAAGACAAAGTTTGTCATGGTGGTAGCTTCATATCCACAAGTAGTGCAAATGTGAATGAAAGGGGATCTACAGGATACCACTCAGAAATGGACCCAATAGGCTTTTGTGAAACAGGAACTGCTCAGTGGGAAACAGCTCTGGCGCGCTGCTGGTGGTGGTCACGCCATCGGTCACTGGGACAGGGTGTGACCGCATCTGTCCCAAGGTACATGTCCTGCAGATCAGATGCGTGACGAGAAGACAGCAGGAACTGAAGATGCAGACGTGAGAGGTGCAGAGGGGCAAGAGTCAGAAGGGGCTGCCTGGAGCCGGCATCTGCTGCCTCCCGTTGCACAGGGCTGGAGCCCTGGAAGAGGCTCCCGGGGAACAGGAGCTTACGGGGCTTAGTCCACCTGAGTCCTGGCTCTGTGGGGGAGTTCTGCCTTCCCCTGAGGTCCCTGTGGATGAGAGGGGCGAGCCCTTCCCAGAGAGGGGTCAGCAGAGACTGGAGGAGTCGAGCTGTGACCACTCCTCTGCCACAGAGTTGTGACCACTCCTTTCCCCATGGAAAGGAGTCTGCCCTCCAACCCTCCAACACGGCATGCGGTCTTTTGGGGAGTACTGAGACACTCATGGGATTCTTATCTCAACTTCCTCTTGCTTGTTCATCAATCACCTACTAAAACCTGTGAAAGGTGCCCTTGAATACTATTCTTGTGTTTCTTCTTCAAAAACCATTCATAGTTTTTTCAAACCATAAAATAAAGGTCCGGTATATAAAACCACAAAAAATAGAAAAATATAAAGGAAAAATGATAACTTTATCACATTTCCCTTCCAGTTCTTTTCCTAAGTGATACTTAATGTATAAGAAAATTAGTCTCATGCTTTACATTCTTTTTGGTATCCTGTTCTACGGTGTTGATGTGTGACTTTGCCACATTATTAAGCATTTAAAAATTATTTTAAATTTCATTACATAAATCTACCACAATTTGTTCAGTCTACTGTTAGAAGATATTTAATATTTTTTCCCAGGTATCCTCTATTATAAATTCTTGTGCTTTTAAACTAAATCTCAATGCCACTTTAATGACAATATTTTTCAACTTTATTGATGTTTGACTGACAAATAAAAATTATAGATGGTCACTACCCAGTCTTTTTATATGGCTGCATAGAATTGCACTTCTTGATGTTTTTAGCTAAGTCACAACTTATGGGTGTTTAAATCATTTTTAGTTACTAAGTAATAAAACTACTGCTGCAATACATATCTTTGGTTGTGTAACTTTGTGTACCATAGTAGGGTAAATTCCTAACAGTGCCAAGCCTATTAAATATCAGGTAAAGAAATGCATTGTCAAGTTGCATATGCCTACAGCTGTGTTCTCAGTGTGGTTAACCTTTCAGTTTTACAGTAGGACAAAAGCAGTGTGCCTGCAGAACAAATTAGACTTCAAATTGTGGTATTTTTTTCCTGGCTTTCTCAGGACACTTGGCAGAGGCTGGGGGCCCCAAGTCCCATGCTGGACTGCAATCACAGGTGGGGACAAGTAGAACCCCAGTGTGCTGTGCTATTAGAGTGTTCTGGATACAGATAATAGTTGCATGAGACACTCAGCATTTTGTTATAAAGTAGGTTTCGTATTAACGCGCTTGCCCAGCTGCAAGCTGAGGATGTTTAGGTTGGCTGGCCAAGCTGTGACGGTCTGTAGTATAGGTGTATTAAATGCATTCGCAGGCTGTAACACTTTCAGGTCATGAAGGATGCCCTCTCATGAGAACTCAAGAATCGTTTGTACTGCACCTGACCTAAATTTGCCTCTAGGATACTTCCCGCACATGTGGCAGACTCGGCCCGTAGGGTCACCTCAGGTCTTTATAATGCAAGGCACCTTCCAGAGCTCCCTCCAGAGCTCTGATTCCCTGCCGGGTCCCGGGAGTCTGTATTTTAAGAAAGCATCCCACAACACTAAGGTGCAGCCAGGGCTGAGAAGAAAACCAAGCTGGAGAGACCCTCAAATGATGGAAATCAGGAACCAGTCGCTAGGGGGCAGCCTCGTTCACCTTTTAAATATGTTTGAAATAAAATTAAGCAGAAAGATATTTTTATTTTTATTCATAATTTGGAAACGGGATCCCCCCATAGGAAGATATTTTAAAATAGATGAGCAGGTGCCAAACTACACCATTTAAAGAGCTCTTGGAATGCGAGTAGCCCTCTGGAAGCTTTAGTCTAGGTTTTGTTTGCACCCAGCCCTCCTACAAACCCCCAAATCTCCTGCTTCCAAGATAATAGCTAGAACTGATCTTCACTACACATCTCTTTTATTTCTTACTGATGGCTGGGTCTCATGAAAGCTCAAGAGTAACTGTATTAGGTTTTGTGAGATTAAACTCCCTGACACAAACACTCTGCCCTGTTCCATTTCTAATTTGCTCTCTGAAGGTGCATAGGTTTTTGAAAGGAACAAGCAGGTCAGTAAAGCACAAATGTCATGATTTAGCTGATAATCTTGCCATCCCTTATGTACTTTCCCTAGAAGAAAACTCACTACATTACCGTTCTGGTGTGAGGTGGAATGATACATTCTTTTTCCACATGACGATGCTAATGTTTTCTACCCTTCTCACCCAATTAAATAATTTCCTCTGATCTTTCATGTGACCCTTCACCATACCAGTCACCTCCACTTAGCTGGACACAATATTCCTCATGTTATTCTAGCACCTGAGCATGAAAAGTGATAGTTACCCTCCTTTATGCTACTGACTCACTCCTATTAATATGATCTAATAGTCTAGATGTTCCTGGACATTTACACCAGCTGGCAGGCTGT